TCTTAGGGCTTACCTGCATGGGAAGGATGAACATTATTACACTTCTATTATCTCTTCTCTTCTGTACCACTATGATTGCATTTTCAGATGTTCTTAGCTATTCTGTGTGTCTGATGATTAGGTATTTAGTTTTCCCTACTTGAGAAAAGATTGCAAAAATTTCTTTGTTTTTTTTTATTCTTGTTTTATTTTCATGTAGTTAACTGGAACAATTTTGTTTGTTTGTTTTGTTTTGTTTTGTTTTTTAATGTTAGCATTGCTTTGCTCTTCAGGTACTCAATATTGTCTTTGAGTCCTTCATAAAACCAAAGAACTTGATAGGTTTCTAGGGGAGCCAAACATCACAATCTTTGTTTACCTTCTATGCTACTTTTGTCCTGCCTTTTGAGAAGTTTAATAGCTAATTAAGGACTTGGTAGTTCTTGTTGGTTGAGGGACTTTGGATTAAATTGAATTTTAAGAAAAAAAAAGGTATATGCAACAATATAATAGCTGAAAATAATTTCATAAAAAAGTTAAATACTAATATATTAATTTGTGTATGTTCTTGGGTTGGGATGTTTAAGATATGTCATGAGTAAAGTCAATGTGTCAATGTAATGCATGTACTTTTTAGGTAATTATGAACAGAATGTTATTTTTCACATTGACTTGTAGTAGCTAGGCACTATACGTTAGCATTTGCTTATTTAGATTAAATTTGCACGCAAACTGAAAAGCATTAAAATCTGTTAGTCTTTATTGGGAACCAAGCTGATAATTCAGATAAACTGTTACATTCAAAATAAAATCAGTGTTGTATATTCTTGAAATTTTCACAGAAAAGAGGAGGTTTATGCTTGTAAATGAAATGAGTTTTTTTACTACATGGAAAATAAAATATACACTTATGTGTTCTGAAAAAATAAATCTCAGATTGTCCCAGTGTTCTGCTTTTTTATTACTATTTTTTATTTCAGCAAACAGCTGCTTTGGTGGAAGGAACAAAATTTATTTGATTAACCATAATGTTTTAAACATAGTCGTGATAACTGTTACTATAGTTATTGTAACTGTTGTTATTATAGAATGATATCCTATTTAAACTCCTTTGTTGTAGTTCCTATGACATTATCTATGTAATTTATAGTACCTGTGTATTAAAAATTTCTTGGTTTACTCTGAGTATGCATAATGGGAAGCTGGAAGAGAAATGATAGGCATCATTTATTCATACATCACTTAAAGGTTTTATTACTTTAAAATGCCTCAGTTGCTGTATAAATTTGATTAAACTCACACTGGAATTGTGGTATATGGAATTATATGCCTTATATAACTTGAATAATTTTTCTTGAATAACAGGTAATATGTATTTTGTTCATATATTTTTCTTTCAGAAAACCTTATTTGTTACCAGACTTTTGTGCATATTACAGAAACCTAGGGTTTCTTTATGCCCTTGATATCCTTATGTATTGTTTAAAAAATATATATTTATCACAAAAAATGTAATAAATGCTATATGATGGACAACCTTTAACTAAAACTTCCTAGTTTAAATCTCATGTTAGAATAGACTTCTTAAGTGTTCCTTTAGGCTAGAGAAGCTGTGTGAAATGTCACTAGAACGCCCTACATTGCCTTCAGCAGTGAGATGTGTTCTGTTGTAGAGTGAAAGGCTGTCCAAGACAAATGAAGAGTCACTGGTAGCGTGTGAGAAAGCACTGAATTCAAACAGTGTTTCCATCACATAGAATGTCTTCCAATGTAAGTGAAAGCATACAGAATTGTCACTCTGCAGAGACTGTTCTTTAATTTGTTTTTATTTACATTGAGAAGCTAGTTGATAATGACCATCTGGTTCTTGACAATTTCAACAGAGCATTTTGATCTCTGGAATTCATACTAAATTTGAGTTAAATTGCACAATGGAAGTTGCCACAAGAATATGTTTTAAGCTACATGTGCTAAGCAATAAAGCAGAAGTTCATATGAAATAATGTTCCTGAAATAAGGCATAGTGGCTGTTACAGAAGAAATGTAAAATTATTCAGGGTATATCTACTTGTGACACGTTGCTCATTTCTCATATTGTGCAAAGGCAAAAAGTTTTATTATGGACTCTTTGATTTTGGATAATACCTTTTTTTAATATTCAAAATTTTATGTGCCTTTCTATTCCAAGTCGAGTTTGACATAAATTATTATATGACAAATGCTAAGTGCTCATAGAATTCTTCTGGGAATATCTCAAAGCAGTATGTGTGTTTCACAAATACACATGTATTAGACCATCTGGGTGGAATAATTCAGTACCATTGATTCCTTTCCAGCATGTACATTAAAAAGAAAAAAGGTGAAAAATGTGAAAAAAGGCAGAAGTTCTCATTACAGAGGCAGATGTATCATCCATCCAGTGGAAATGTACCTGCTTTTTTATTTTATTTTGAATTGAAATTTGTGAAGACTTATACCCAGGGGTGATTTAAAACTAGTGTGCCTGCTGTTGTTTATCTACTAGTGCTTCTATGTATTAATGGCATGCTCTCATTCCTGATGATTCATTTCATAACACATGCCACCTCTCACCAGAAGATCAACATATAAAATATGAGGCATTTGAGAGCGATGAGACAATCTGCTACAAGTAGCTCTGCAATTTTTAGCACAGAAAAGACATGGACCTGTGGAGCAGGTCCAGATGAGGGCTGAAAAAATATTCAGAGGGATGGAGCATAACCTCTTCTATAAGGAAAGGCTGAGAGAGTTGGGATTGTTCAGCCTGGAGAGGAGAAGGCTCCATGTAGATCTTATTGTGGCTTTTCCATAACTTAATAAGAAATTCTGTAGCAATAGAACAAATAGTAATGATTTTGAAACAAAAGAGGGTAGATTCAGATGAGTTAGAAGGAAGAAATTTTTTATGATGCGGGTGGTCAAACACTAGATCTGTGTGCGCAAAGAGGCTGTAGATGCTGCACACCCAGAAATACTGAAGATCAGGTTGGATGAGGGTCTGGGCAATCTGATCTAGTGCAGGTGTTCCAGCTTATGGCAGGGGGTTGGGCTAGATGACCTTTAAAAGTCCTTTCCAACTCAAACTGTTCCATGATTCTGTGATTGTATGTCATGCAGACAGATTTGAGTAAAAATGCCTTTTTATTTTCTTCTTTTAATATTCATCTTGGTATCTAGACTTACAATGTAGGCTTTGTCAGTAGAAAAAGGATCAGTGACACTTGAAGTGTTCCCTTCCACCAGCAGTGTGAGTAGCTCCCTGTGTGAAACACAGCATCATCATATTCTCTGTCAAATGCAATTTATACCTAATAAGTTCTTTTTATTTTCTGTGCTGTAAAGAATCCTTTCACTAATGAGATCATTTTCCAAGACTTAGCAGTGGAATGCATTTGCTCATAAGACATTCATTTTTTTCTTTTTTCTGCTTACCAGTTGGACAATTAGTCCCAAGTAGAACAGCTTCTTTCACCATTGCAAATCTAATCTGTGGATAATAAAGTGAAAAAATGAGTTTGTAGTTAGATACTAAAGAGGAGGCATAAAATTCTGCCCTTTTTATTGTGTAGATGTAGAACACTAAATAAAGTTATGAAAGAAAGAATAATTTTATTTTCTTTTTTTTATGAGTGATGTACTCTGGTAGAATATGGCATATGAGACTTTATCAAGAGCGATTAATAAAACCTATTATTTGTTGTGAATGGATATTATTTATGGGATTTAAGAGAGAACTTCTAACTCTAACAGTCAAGGCCTGTACTAGGCCTTTCCTGTAGAAAAAGCTTGCCTCAAAGATCTAAATTAAACAACTTAAAAAAAAAAAAATTTGAATGCAATCAAAAAATACCCTTGGGACATTCATATAAAAATCTTGCTGCTAATTAGAAATACCTATAATTACACAGCAGAAACAATTATTAATTAAGGTAAGGAAAAGATTTTGTACTCATTAATATTCATAGTTTTTGTCAGTGAAGCCTCATAGCAGACAAATAGAAGGGTTGGAAGAAAAAGAATTCACCTATGACTTTTCATTTATTAGTTGCATCCAAAGAATGTGGTTTTCCTGACAAGAAACACTTAATAAAATCTAAAAGTTGACATAATCTCCTTTTCTGTAAAGAACAGATGCTGGCCCCAGTATTGCTGCACTTCTTTGAGTTTTTTAAAGTTAATTTTCTTTCAACTAAACTAGATCAGATATTGATTCTTAATTGATACATTTCAAATTTAAATGGAGAATGAAGACATATCCTTTATAGTAATTCAGCTGGAGAGGCATTTAAAGCTAGAGTATTGATTAGCGTTTGCTTGTTTCTGCACAATTGATTGTGAACTGCAGTTAAGTCTTCTTTTTCTGAAATGCTCAGGTTTTATTCTGTAGGATGTTAGGACTTGCATACTAATCATTGTGGGATAATGATTATTTTGCTGTGTCTATATCAAATACATATACCCTTTGCAAAGCAAAAAAAAAATTCTATTTTGTTATGTTTACTGTGCTTAAAAGGGATGCAATTACTTTTTAGTTAATTTCATTCAGCTTGCTTGGCTTTTTTTTTTTTGAAACAGCTGTATGTATTGTAAATGTGATTGCACGTCAAAAGTGATTGCAAAGATATTGCTGGCATCAGGTCAAAAGTAAATAAAAAGCATGTGGTGAGGTTGTAGCTTGGTGCTGCAATGTAGAATTGAACGTGTCACTTGCTGTTCATAGTGAGTGAACCGTGAACCATATCTTGGTGTGATCTCAGAAGTTAAGTTAGAAGTGGGTAAAAACAGCTGGTTAAAGGATATGATAAAATATCATCTGTTAGTCTCATGAAATATTGGGTAAAAAACCCAAAACCTGTGCTTCAGTACTGGTACTTCTACATGTAGTACAGCAAGAGGAAATATTTTGAGATATGCTGCTCTCAGATGCAGAGTTGATTCTGTTACAGTTCCACTAGGTGGTGTCTGTTGGATTAACCTGTATGTGATATTTTTCTTTGCAGATAATTGTGATGATCAGTTGGTTTCTGCTTTGCCTCAGTCATCATTCAGTAGCTCTTCAGAGCTGTCTAGCAGTCACAGCCCTGGATTTGCAAAGCTTAATCGAAGAGAGGGTGAGTGAATTGTATTGGTTAATTGTTAATTCTGGGTTGAAATGAAAACAGTTTAAGTATTCAAGAGCATATATTACTGTTTGTATACCAACCATGAGCAAGTGCAGTTTCAGCTCAAGGAAGTTATGAATCTCAACTTCCCAACCTATGGTAAGCTGTCTGACAACATGAGCACTGGAGCTGCTCTGTGGGCTTATTGAATAGACAGCAGCATCTCTGGATACTGACTTCTGTTTAATTATTACAAATGCCAAATCTGATTAATAAACTGTTTCAAAGATGCCATCCTAGGAAACTTCACTGAAATATTTTGTCTTAGGTCAAAATCTAGTCCTAACAATTCAGCCACAATATTAGTGCTGGTTACTTAGAGACATTCAAATATATCAAATTTCCCTCATGTAGTCCACTGTTGTATTTAATTGAGAGATATATAAAATAAATCCTAAGAATATTTCGTCCTGCCAAAATAATTTCTGTTATTGAACCTCCATGATTTACTTGAATATTTGCTATGTGTGATAGACAGAAACACTCTAGTGAAGAAGGAATATCCCAATCTATTTTATTAACCTAATGTGCAGATTTGATAAGCATGAGCTGCTATTTTGAATGAAGTTGTGATATCAATGGAAATTACATACCTTGAAAGGACGTCTCTTAGTTTGAAGTAATATATGCTCTTAGAATTTTAAATAATACATATATTATCATCAAAGTTAGCATCTTCATATTGGTCTTCCTTAGAAATGTTTGAAAGCTCTTTCCAAGTCGCTCTCTTCATGTGCTATGAAGTTGTTTGTGCCATGTTAAAATGCATTTTTTAGATTTATAATTTTCTTCGCTTTGCACTGTACTGTATGCACATATTAGAAATGCTTATCACCTTTCATCTGGTACCATTTGAACTCATGTAGATTCAAAACAGCACGTAGCCTAATTAGAAGATTGCGACTGTCTGCTTTCTCATTCTGTGTACCTCAGGTACACGGTATTCAAAAGATTAGAGATTTGAATGTCTTATTCATTTGTCATTGTTTAGTAATATGATCAGATTGTTTGGCTAGTGTGGTGGTTTCAGTTTGAACCGGGTGGAAACACTAATTTTTTCTGGTGGTTTAGGTTGCCTAATTTTTCGTTTCTCAGCTAATGCACCAAATAATGTAGGTTTAGTGCTGGCTAAAATTGCCAGTGCACTTACTAGAATTATTTATTTATTTCATGTGAGATATGAATTAGGAGGAGGGTAAAACAGGATCATAACTTAAAAGGTAAAAAGAAAATACTATTAACAGAACCAAAAGAGTAAGAAGAATCAGAATAAAACTTTCAGAACACTTTTCTTCCTCCTGCCTGGCTTTTTTTTTCAGAAGAGACAAAACCTGGGGTTTTAAATAAGCTACTACCTCTACAATAGTCTTTCATCAGTTCTTGTAGAGGGAGGAGTTTTCTCTTGTCATGCCATTGAGACTTCTCCACAAGAAACAGTTCTCTTGTAGCTTTTCATTTCCACTAATAGCAGCTGCCTGGAAAAAAATCTGCAATCGTGAAGTTCCTCCCATTTTCACAGCTTTTCCAAAGCTGAGTTAATGGGTCATGTAAACTTACAGGGTATTATTTTAAGAATGAGCTGTTTAAAAGCAAAGGTTCTTTTAATCTATTTCTGAAATTATCTCTGGGAATAGACGTCTTCTTCTTTCCCAGATGGTAAAGGGTTTTCATTACTCTTATTTTTTTCTGTGTTCAAGCTTCTCCTGGGATCACAGCCTTTTCAGCATCTGCTTTGCTTCATCAGTGGATACCTCTGCTCACACCTACAGTTTGAACACTCCATTCCCCTATACTTCCTCATGAATTAAGGGGGATATTCCTGTGTATCTTAGGCCATCTCCATGGCTTCACTAAAAAAGACTTTCAACTCCAATACCAGGGTATCTAATCATTCTTCTATCTGGGACTTGACTCCTTCTTTACTGACCTTGGTGTCTTCATTTTGACTTGTACATATCCTCACATCTATCCTTCTCTCTCCCTTCAGAGAGGATCGAAGTCTGCAGGTCTCACTTGTGCAGTGAAAAGGTTAATATCTCACCCAGGCCTGCAGATGGTCATGATGGTTTCTGCTGGGCTGTGGCTGAAGCAGTCATGGTGATGGATTTCAGGCTGCACTGGGGCCCTCTCTCTGCCCAGCAGCCGCTGGGGCTGTGGTGGAGGGGGCCTGGCCCAGTCTGGAGCCGGTCCCAGGGCCCAGGGGACCCCAGCTCAGCATGGGTCAGCAGCAGGGGGACAGGGCTTGGTGTCAGCAAGATGTCAGCAGCCGGAGCCCTGTGACCTCCCATCCCCTGCCCAGCCACCGCTGGGGTCCAGCCCGACCGCAGCAGAGCAGGGCTGGCCCACTGGCACCTGGTTACCTTGTCAAAGCTGGAAGGCAAGAGAGATTTCCCAGGCTTGCCTGTCTTTTAAAATGTAGAATTCACAGAGGCAGACCTTTTGGTTCATTCAGATGTAATTTTATGGAATGGTGTAGATGAGGTGAGATGAGAATTTCTTCAGTCTTCAGTAAATTAATCTTAATTAAATTAGTTTTTACTTATATTTTATTCTTTATTTTTCAGTGAGAGTAAAAAACTCAGTACTTGCTATGGAACCAGGAATACATTTTCTACACTGAATTTGTGTTTAATTCTTTCCTGTGAATTTCCCATGCAGAACCTGATTATATTTGTAGATGTATATACGTGAAAAGTGAAAGTGAAACATGAAAGTTTTATTTGGATGGAACAAAGCTAGTCATTATATTATATTATATATTAGTCATATATAATAATATATAATAATATATAATATAATATATATATTATATTTTAGTCATGGTTATAAACAAAAACATTTAGCCACACAAGAAATGATTGCTAAACCATACAGACTAGGAAAAAAAATCTGTTATTAGGAAGGTATGACATGTGCTGTCAGTGATTTTATGGAAGCAATGAAGACATCATTAGAGTTTTAAAAGAAATTGTGTGATAACTGAAAGTGGGTTTGCCTTTAATATAGATCACTCTCTACTTTGAATAAAAACAACTCTTTTTTTGCAGCCAAAGTAAGTGGTTGGGTGTGACTGTGACCTCCTAACATTCATTTAGGACAAGCAAATTGTGGTTCCAATACAATAATATGCTTGATTCTTAAAATGCCAAAATTAGGGAAAATTTTATACATTTTAGATAGAAAAAAGTTGAGTATTTTTACACAGTTTACATGGGAGTCAAAATTATGTCCTTCATTAATAAAGAAATTAACTAAATATGCATATACACCTACACTGTTTCTGTTGGTAATGGAAGGTTTAAAAATAGCAGGAAATTTACCAGGAATGTGGGAAGTTGCACTGAAATAGTTCTTTAACCATGTAGATTTGTGTTTACTAAATGTGAAAAAATCAGTAGGAAAAGATAAAGTGATTGAGGAGAGGAAACTGTAGCCTAAAAAATAAAATTACATTATGTACTTTATGTGAAGACATAGTAAAAATGATAATAGCGGAGAATGATTAGTAAAACAGCTAACTGAGAATATGGTTTAGCTTTCTCTCTGTAAAGCAAAAAGATAATGTGGTTGAACACCCTGATAACAAAAAAAAAATAAATTCCAGTCCATTAGCAGTTAGGGAAAGTGATAACATCCAGGAGTAACTCATTAAATGTTCTTCCAAGTTTTAATTATTACTAGTTCGTTGATTCCCTGAAGTTTTCAGATACTCAGTACTCAAGCACAGCTAATGAATACTCCTGCTAACTGCTAAAGTAGGTACTCTGACATCAGATTTACTTCCAATAATGGAAAATTAGATAGAAAAATTAAGTAACAAGAACTAAGTAAAAAAAACCCCAAACACTAATAGCAGTTGAACATTTTTAATGGAAAAATAATTTTTTTTTAAACCCAATTTAATTATTTGAGCTTAGCAGACATAAAATTCAAGGATTTAATATAAATAGAGTTTGACTTTTGGCCTAATGTTGTATGAATTTTTACTTTTAAATAATAGCACCATATCAATGCAGTCCAGATTGTATGTATTGAGATCTAGCTGGTGGACCTCCTAATGCATTTATGATTACTATATAAAGGTGTTTTCACAGAAGTTCAAGGGAAACTCTAAGGCCGCCTTTATTCAATACTTCTGTTGATTATATAGAAGTAAACACAAATAATTTATGATGAAATGAATAATGACATGAAGATTGTGAAAATGTGAATAATCATGGCAAAGCAATTATGAAGAGATATGGTAATCAATATAACTAAGTGAAATAAATACTTTAACAAGGTGAGTTATAAACTATTTAGAGGAAAGAGCAGAGGTCATACTTATCAAATAGGAAGTGTATTCTACAAATCTGTGACTGAGATTAATCTAGGAATTGAACTAAATTAACAATTCTCCTTAGCTTCTTCTCTAGCAAAAAATGACAAACAAACAAACAAAACAAAAAAAACCCCAAAACAACCCAAAAACCAACTAACAAAAAACCCAAACAAACTAGTGCATAAGTGAACAGATAAAAAGTTTTTATTTTCTGTATAGCTTTATACTTTACCACTGAGCTGTGCTGTAAAATTCTGGATCCTGAAAGTTTGGTTGAAATCCTAGGCTGTTTTCCTATGCCAGTGAGAATAGGTGACACAAAAAATGTTCAGGGGAGGTGCTCTCTTTTTACATATCTAGCCACAAGAGAATAAATGAAACAAAAAAGGAAAAAAGAACAAAGGTAAAATGCTTTTTAGGGTGAAATGAAGCATTCCAAAAGAAGGGAAAAAGCAGTCAGCATTCAGAGCATGCCTGCCTGGGATAGTGATAGGAATTTAAATACCAATACCTAATCAGGACCATCAAGAATATGTTTCTGTCCAGTCATTGCCAATAATTTACATGATGAGTAGTCAGTTGAAGTCTGGCACTGCAGAGGATTTGCTCTATTTGCAAATTCTTTGTG